TCAAACACAATCACATCAGATATCAACAATCACAAACAATTTAGAATTGAAACAACACTACGATGGTCGTACCGATTGTAGTGTAGCCATTTGCAATTGATTTTTTACATATATTTTTTCTCCTATACTGTAACACCCCTGTCCTAGTTTAAGGAAATTAAGCAAAAAACATGATTTATCCCTGCACATTCTTTACATTTATGTGCCTTTCCCAAATTAGGAACTTGTATTTCAGTGGTTCGTGTTGGTTCATGTATGTCATTTATGTTTATTTGTAAATTGTATTGTAAATTATCAGGCCATGAATTTTCTCGCTTGCATTTCTTAATTCACATAATTATTTGTTATCGGGACCCTTTAAAGCCGAATACACGATATGTTTTTTTTTGTTTAAGGCCGTACGGTGACCTTTAATTGCTTTAATCTTCGTCATTTGAACTCTGATGGGTATTTGTTTTATTGGCGATCACACAATCTCTTTCTTTTAATATGGATATTATGGTATGATATCTATCTTGAGGATATTTGTTTAAGAATTCAGATCAATGTATAAAGGTTGGTCATTACCATGAAATGTACGATTTTGATACGCCTACATTTACTGAGCTGTAATGAACTCATGAGTTAAACACTGCAAAATACTAATTTAAAACTAGTATGTTGGAAGACCTCGATTGTTCTATTCTTGCTTCATGCAATTACCTTTGTCAGTTTTCCTATCAAAGGTCGGTAGTTTTCTCCGGGCACTCCGGCTTACTCCACCAATAAAAACTGGCCGCCGCGAAATAGCCTAAATGCGGTGATTAAACGTGGCATTGAAACACAAAAAATCAAATCAAATCATGCAATTACAGTAAACTTTTGTTTTATTTGGACCGTGATTGCTAACTTATATCAAATTTATTGATTTTGTTGATAATTTATCCGTTTGGCGTTGTTAAAGCTAAATGCTAGAAAAAAGAATATGCCACTTTAATGTGATCGATGAAACGAGAAGCAACTTGCCTCAAATCTTTGCAGAAAATATTGGTTTTTGACGATATATCATGATATATAAGTCAGATAATATATATTGAAAGGCTATTCTACTCGTATAACACACATTGGAGTGTCATGATTGCACAGGGAGGACCTCTACGTTTAGTATTGCATTGATGTGTTTCAGCGTGCTATACGACAAGAAAAACTTTGAAATATACATGATCTATATCACATCAACCTCAGACTGGCTTTAACTCTAACCTTTATTCCGAATAGGCCCAGCACTTATCCAGACTATAATCTTCTTCCTATCCTTGACAATAACCCTTACCATCATTCTGACTATAACCGTTACCCTTAACCTTATCTGGACTATAACCATAACCCTTATCCTTACTTAATTCATAACCCTTATCATAAACAATAACTCAAAACTTTCTTACACCGCTAACGGGCCGTATACCGACCATAGTGCTAACCAGTGTCCTTGCTCAGATGTTAACAGTAACATGCGCATACATGCATATACAAATGAAAATGTAATAACTGAATATTCAGAGTTCCATAACAATTCAAGAATAAGTCCAACATTAAAATGGGTGCATAAGCTTACTTTCAACTTTATTGCAGAACTCTACTTGGTTGTTTTTAAAGCTCTGCCTTAGTTTGTTCTCTAATGTTTTATTAATTACAATTTTCATTTCAGAATTTAAAATCTGGAAATGTAGCAGTCATTGCTTTTTCGCCATATTTAAGCAGGAACAGTTGTTCCTTCTGAAGCATCTAGATTCAACACCGGTTTTAAACAGATTTTACAACTAAGTAGTTGGTTCTCTGTTTTAGTGGTATCAACTGTATCTATAAATGACATGGTTACTAAAATAATTAAAACCAAATGTTCAGAGAAAAAAAATGAATGTCTTTCCACCCAAAAAGATCTACAATACAAAAATATTAAAATTCCGTTAAAAATGTCATCTCCAGCGTCAAATGATAGCTTATTGTACACTGATTTAAAAAATATGTGGTTTCTAGACATTTATTCCTAAATAAGGGAGTTAATTTGTTATTTCCGGTTTGAAAAATATCTCGTCCGGTATTATTTAATAGTTTACTTGACACTGATTCCCCAAAAATGTATGATTCTATTTACTTTTACATTACACAAGTACAAAAAATATCTACTGCCGGTTTACACAAGGTCACTACCGGTTAACCTTTCCAAGGTCATATGGCTTTCAGTCTAATGCAAAAGTCCCATTACTTTATCATGAATTCATATGAAGTAAAGGCAAAAGTCAAAATCTAGAACCTCAATGACCTTGAGATCAATTTGAAGTTCATAAATAAAGGACCTCAAATCAAAAGAAACTAGGTTTTTTATTATACATGGTGAATGCGTTATATCACTATACGCGTAATTTTAAATGCAAGAGGGGAAAACTTCAATTTAATGTAAGCGTTATTTCATTAAAACATCAAAAGAGTATATGTTATGACATGTTGCAACTAACAATTTAGTAAAATATGTTGTCGATATCTAAAACGTTTAAAAAAAAATCAAATAAAATCAAAAAACTAAATTTATAATATGACCTTGACCTCTGACCTCTGACCTTGACCTTATTTTCTATTTTTGGACCAAGGACCTCAAATTAAAAGACCCTGGTCTCTATGACTTATGATTTACCAGTTAGAAATGCTTATCACTTAAGGTGGAATAACTCACATATGGAGTTTCTGAATAGCTTCAGTCAAAATAAAATGTAACATCATGAGGATAAAATAACCATTTTGGGAAAATACATTTGTCGCTTTCTATTACAGTTACGAAGGGGATCTCATAAGAAGAAAAACAGTGTTTCTGGGTGATAACTCTTACACAGAAAAAGTGTTATGTAAATCAGGGTCGGTTTCAAAAGTATAAAGACGGTTTGATACTATATACAAAAAACAAAGCGACATCTTTTGAAATAAAAATACAGCCCAAGAAAAACATTTGACGGAAGAAAAAAAAATAATAATAACAAAACAATTGGTCTTTCCACGGAAAAGTGGAAAGACCCAATGATTTAGACACAAAATCAAAATCACTACAATGGTCAGCAGCAGCAGAAGCAGCCACTTAATCATCATCTGTAAATAAATACCACCAATAACTTGCATGCATGTTAGTCTTGGTGTTGTGATTGATTTGAATAAAAAGAATTGGTATAAATATTTTGAACATTTATATCATTTTTAATCTCATATTTACAAATGTCAAGACTTATAATGACTTAGTATACAATTACTTGATATATAACTATTTAAAGCATTTGGTCAAATACAGTTAATGGAAAAAACATAAAAGTAATAGACATATCATAAAATATAATCACATTCAGTTTATCAGTGGCAATTTTCGGAATGCTCTGTTACAATTTTTATCGGAAACATTTTTATAGAATGCATGAAAGCTTGTCTCGCTGCGTTTATGTCACCTTTAAAATTGACCAAGAACGTGCACGCATGTTAGTCTTGGTGTAGTGATTGATTTGTGTAAAATAAATCTATTATTAATTTATATCTTGAATATTGCTTTCATGTGTTTTCCTCTTATTTACAAACATAAAAACTTAGAATAACTAAGTCAACATAGATTTTGAAATATAACTGTTTATAGCATTTGATCAAAAAATCTGTTGATGGAAAAAACATAAAATTAATAGATAAATCTTACAAAATATAAACATTCAGCTTAACAATGACAATTTTCGGAATGCTGTGTTATACTTTCGATCTGGGAATAATTCTTTAGAATGCACGAAAGCTTGTCTCGCTGCTTCTATGTCGCCTAAAAATCGAAAACCTATACCCAGGATGTTGTAAGATAAACCTTTCAAAGTGTGAGGTGCTATTAAATAGTTTTCCTCTATAACCAACTGTAGATCCCTGAGAGAATCCAAGCATTGTTTGCTGTTTTTTAAATGATAATGACATAGAAAACAAAGAAAGTGAGAATATACTATTGGGAGAATTATTTGTTGTACTTCGATTTGTAGTTCATCCGGTTGTAACGTTGCGTCATATTATATATATACATATAACAATAGTCATATTCCTAAATAAGTGTAACTTGAATAGCTCATAATGAATATCTGAAGACTGCATGGAATGATAAATTTTCTCCGGTGTACATTTCAACAGAGAATACTGAATGATGTAAAGAGATATATTGTATTGTTTCTTTTATAGAAAAACGAGGCTAACATCAGCCATCCAGATACCGTCGTGACGTGTGTTAAGAAGAAGAGTACACATATAAGTATTGCTATTTTTATAAGTAGATATATTACAGGAAATTCCATCCACTGGTAGAATTCGCTCGCTTTTCAAACAAAATTTTGTCAAAAAGTAGGTGTACAGGTATTTGATTGTTGAATTCTTACTTGACAATACCTTTTTTTCCAAAATAGAATAAACAGTAGGACTAAAAAAATCGGAAGAAAATATGTTTGAATTTAAAAGTCTTTCAACACTCTTGGCATATGCAAAGCTTGGCTTATTTCTTATATCCGATGCCAATGAATTAAAATTAAAGATTTGGTCCAACAAAAGGATACATTGCCAACCATAATTATTTAGAATATACAACTTGTTTAAGAGTGTTTTCTGTGCTTGTCCTTGTATCTTATTCTCAAATAGGTTATTCTCAGGAATAAAATAATGAGGACAAACTGTGTATTCAATACAATAAATCAGCCTCTTAAAACATCTCATGTAACAAGATATCAAGTTTTCGGGTTTCCATTCTGATAAAGGTAATTCCTCGCATATCCAAAACAAAATTGTTTTCAAAAAATATGAACAAAGCAATTCTTTACAATCTACGTCTAAAGCTATAACGTCTTTTAGAAGAATTTTCATAAGTGCATAACATAGTAATTGTGTATGTGTAAATGAATAAATAAGTAGTTTTTCGCCAACAGAAAATAATATGCGCCACTCTAATTCTTCTTGTGTAGATCCTTTCACACCTACAGGTACAAAGAGAACCCCGTGTTTTACAATAGCCTGTTTAACATCGTATATTGGCCATGAATTATTTGATCGTGTTACCCATTGTTTTGCAGGTGTTATCCATAATTTGCTATGTACACAGTATGCCAAGTCAAAAAATCCATTTTTATTGGATACACATGGCCCATATATAGACGAAAGGATTTCGGTTGAAAATATTTGTTTAAATGAAAGGTTTGAAAAGAAGAAACCTCTACCTATCTCATGACAGTCTATTAAAACACGAGGGTAATAACCGTGCACTAGACGTAACTTAGTAAAACCTGGCTGCGTATCTTCTAGTTCCATTGTAAAATGTATTTTATCAGCATTGAAATAAATTTGCGTGTCTTCACAGACCTCATTCTGTTTTTGTATCTTCATTACATCTAAATCACTACCTCGCATATGTAGTCCCTCTCCAAAACTTCCACTGGTAACTACTGTCCACATATAGTTGCTCTGTAAGTTGTCTCTGACAGTGGTCATCAATCTGAGTGTTCTTACATGTTTCTCGGTTCCTACAACGTTCTGACATAGATAATGATACAAAGCTATTGATGCATTTTTGATTGACGATTCTGTAAAAAAAAATGAATAAACTAAATTTTAGTTTTTAGAATCTTTAGTTTCCTATGTTTTTCTTTTTTTCTTTTTCTGTTTTAACCATGGCGTTGTCATTTGATTTTTTATCTATGAGTTGGAATGTTCCTCTGGTATCTTTCGCCCCTCTTTTAGTGTGTTTGCAAAGTCTTATAAATTTCCTTTAGATTAATTAAATTGTTCATCATATCTGGCACAAAAACTTAACATTTTGTATAGAAATATTTGTGGTATAACTAGTGATACAAACTTATGCTTTATTTTTGTCATACCCCGAGTTTGGTCCATTAGTTTTACACAAAGATATAAATTGCTGCATTCTCTAATCCGAAAAATGTATGTGTCTACATTAATCCACTTATCTAATATTAATTGTTCTTATCTGATATGTAACTTTCTTAGAGTTCCTGTTGGTCGAATTTCTACCAAAGGGAAACAATTCTTGTAAAATTAAGAATCTAAATAGGAAAACAATACGAAAGATACATAATATTAAGAAATGGTCTAGTGTGGTTTGGACTTGGTTGAATATGATTCAGATGTTTTAATTGGTAAAAAAGGGTCGAGTACAGTTACAGACGACAAACGAGTAATATAGAGTAAAATTCAGACCAATTCAGAATGGTGGAGTAAAATTCAGTAAAGTCTAGTTCAAATACTGTCCATTTCAGACTTTTTTTTTTAGCTTTTACTGGTTTGTAGTGTTTATAAAAAAGGTGTTTGGTACAGAGTATTCTGGATCTCGTATTGATGTTTTTAGTTGCTGAACATTTTGAATCGTATTTTGCGCAAGGTTTTACTTAATCTTTAAGTCATGAAAAATTAACAGAAGTCATCGTGCTAAAATATTACATGCAATTCCACATTTCGGTAATTTTGTAGACGATAACTTACCTTAAGATAAGATTTGTGTATACAAAAAATCAAGACGTCTATTTTTGAAATCTGAATACAGTCCTTTACTAAGAGAAAATAAAAAACGGGCGAACATAATTCTAAATGTTGTTATTGTTTCAATTTGTTTGCTACTTCATTTAATTCCCAAGGTTAAAGTATAGTTAACACACAGATCGCACAACAAGAATACTCCAGAAAAGTTCGCAAATACTTGTTATGTAGATAAATTTTCCCACGTACCTCAGGGATCAGGTGCTTACTCCATGCTGTAGAATGCGATACACGGAAATGATCTCTTTTCTTTTCTTTTTTTCTCTTCTTTCGGCCTTCATTTTATTTTTACTTTAAGCCAGAATATTGTTTTAATAAGGCGTAAAAAATGTCAACATCTGTCATTCTGCAAAGTCATTGCAAAATACTGATATTACATATGCATATATTTTATTGGAAAAAAGTTTATGTTAAAGATTATTGTAAAGGAACAATGGGCGTAGTTGAAACCAATGGAATGAAGAGGAGAAAATATCTTATTACAATGTACATGCCATTTTAGTCGAGTATGATTCAGATTTTTAAAATGGTTACGGAGAAGTCTATTTCATGTTCTGAGTAATTTGAGTAAAGATTCACACAAATTCAGAAGAGTCAATACAAACCAGTGCAGTTTAGTAGAAATACCGTCCATTTCGGACTTTTTCAGCTTTTTAGATGTTTGTATTGTATACAAAAAGTGTTGCCTACAAGATATCATGGTTCGTGGGTTAATGTTATTAGTAACTGAACATTTTGGGTCGTATTTTGCGGCAATAAATTAACATAGCCTTCGTCTTAAGACATTACATGTCATTTTAAAATTTGGTAATTTTATAGCGTATATAATGTACAGTGAGGTGAGATTTATGTTACATTAGAACCAAAGAGTGGCCTTTGTTTTAATATATCACGAAAAATTGAAGACGTCCGTTTTGGCAAAAAATTTTCGACTATTGAAAACCTGTCTTTACTGAGAGAAAATTAAATACAGGTGAACATTATCATAAATGTATTGTGTTGTTTTATTTGTTTCGTTCTTTTAATTCCCACGGTTTAAAATATGGTTAACCGAGGTCTTCACCAATCAAATACACTTTAAAAAATGCATTTATATTATGTTATGTTTTTATGCTGCATATAAACATTTTATAACAAGAGTCGAACAAACAGTATCTCAGGGGTTTATTTAAACCATACTAGAATATAAAATGTTGTAAGACTTTAGTACCATTGAGTTAGGATGTGGTGCTACAATGGCGGCAGCGGAGCCTCGTTCCGGGGTATATGGAAAAAGGGAATACGAATACTAGAAAACAAGTCCAAACCACGTACTGTCGAAAATGAGGAAACCTTATAAAATAAAAATGTAAAGTTTAAAGACCGTAATTTCGTCTGTCGTCAGAACGATTCGACGGAACACTTTTCCTAACGCGACTTTCCGATCATCCTGGATCCTGTGACTATTCCATGCTGTATGATTAGATTCTCGGGAATTATTTGTTTTCCCTTTTTCCCTTTATTGCGACCTACATTTTCTTCTTTCTAACTGGAAGGTACTGATTACATATATGACACAAACAGTAGGCCAAATTAGTAAGAAAGCAGTTTTTATTCTTTACCTAATTGTATAATGCTCCCTTTAGCATACGTTTTTTTGAAAAGGAACCGTTGTTTGAATAAAAACCAATTAAATGAAAGGACAAAATGCGTGATTACCTGCCATTTTGATTGTAAACTATAACTTTATTTACCTGGTAACGGGGACTTCCCTAATATCTACTTTCGTTTCTATTTATAGTTCATTGAAAAACCCATATTGCAAAAAGAAATTTCCTTACATTTAAAACCTACCCCTCCTGTGTGGGGATATTTAAAAATTTGATTAAAATCAACCACTCACAAAACATTTGACTAAGTAAAGGAATAATAAAATTTCAATTATATAAAATACTTTTTTCAAATTAAACTGTTTATAACGAAATTTTTGTATTTATTTTCTTCTAAAACTTTCCTTTAAAAGGAATTTGAGAACAGTTCGTAATCGTAGGGTATTTTCGTATTTCTAAAAGGTTTCATGATACACTTTCAGTATTGTTGTTTCTATTAAAACAAATCGTTTCACACGGATATCAGAAAACGGGAGCGATGAGAGATCCGTTTTTAATTAGATTGTTGTCTGTAATATATGATTGTCTTAAATTGTATTGTTTAAATAAGGTCGAATATTTTTTCATGTGATTGGATCACATGTTCTTATCGCGGCTTATGGTATGGTATTGTTACAATTTTATATATAGGCCGTACGTAGAGCTATAATTATTATTCGTCATTTGAACTCTGGAGAATATTTGTATCATTGGCGATTATACCACATATTCGTGAGTATTTATGCATAACGTCAGTAGTATTGGTTTTATAGATTCCTCTTTTTGAAACGGGTTGAAAAAAAGAAACAAGTGTACTGGATGTTCATTATCGCGTGTTATACATCTTTCACGATAAATGATTACCTGTATCTGTACATTGTTGTAGAATATAAGGAACAAACAAAACAAAATTGTACAAAATACACAAACATAAAAAAAGGAATGAAACAGTTGTTAATATTATGTATAGTTAAGTTGTCTATACATTATCTTTGAAAGGTATCAAGATGTTAACATAAAGTTATGTCATTTGGTAGTTTATTCCGAAGTATCGAGGACCTATTTGTGAATGATGTTTAATCCCATTTTTGTAAGAACTCTTTCTGTATCTCTACATTGCATGCAGAAGATCGTTTTTCCAGTGTATGTTTATAATAGGACAAAAAGCTCTTTAAGGTATGTATGTGCTTTATTATCAAGAACTAAATGAACAAGAATCAATTCGTGATAAGAAAACTTAACCAATGTAGATCTTTGAGTAAATTAACATCATGTATCACATTTTCCATCCAGCGAAAACCTGCCAGCTCTTTTCTGCATCTTCACAATTCTATGAAGTTCATTTCCATAACAATATCACTATATTGAGCAACAAAAATCATATATAGACAGAAATTAAGCATTATAAAATACCTTTCTACTATAGATATATTAGTCTGAAGAAAATTGCAAAACCAGAAATAATGCTTTGACGTACCTGGTAAATTAAGAATGTTCAATCTATTTTTTATCAGTACATACATACTTGTTATATTATCGTATATGAATATATTTAGTGTATGACCTACCAAAGTTCTTGCTCAATTTTATCAAATCAACAACTACAAAAAAAATTGTGTTTGCTAACAACAACTATAACAGCCCTATTTCGCAATTCAAAGATAAGATAGAGGAACTCTACGAGGAATTTATTTTTTTGTTATCTTGGATCACAAGGCTACAAACAATATCAATACTGTCTGACATAAACTTAATATTGAGTTTCTGCAAAAGAAGATCAAAATTTCAGCAATATTCCAACTGACAAAATTTTTGAAAAGTGACATCGTAAATAACCATAAACGTTTTGTTATCTCTTCACAGGAAAACACAAATAACATGAAAGTTACAACTATATAAGCTGCACAAAAAACCTTACAAATATAGATTATTTCGTCATCAGGCAATGATCTACTACTAAATTGTCTGTTTTACTTACTAGTACAATTGGTACAATTAACAAGAGGCTCTCAATAGCCTGAATCGCTCACCTGTTTTTTTTTTGCTTAAATCTTTCATCAATGTTTATACAAGGAAATAAAATACAAAATTCATACTAGATTCATTTGAGAAGATTTTTAAAGAACAAAAACATAAACAACTTGAATGTGTAAAATTGTCCTTAAGATGTTAATTGACAATTTTGGTCATTAAACTTTTTTATAGATCTTACTTTGCTGAACATTTTTGCTGTTTACAGTTTATCTTTATCTTCAATAATATGCAAGATTATAACAAAAAACTGCAAAATTTCCTAAAAACTACAAATTTAGTGGCAGCAACCCAATGATAGGTTGTTCGGTTTGTCTGGAAATTCCACGGCTGATAGATCTTGACCATATTAACATGTTTACTCCATGTCAGATTTGTTCTTAATGTTTTAGTTTCTGAGATATAAGCCAAAAAAGGGACGAAAGATACCAGAGGGACAGTCAAACTCATAGATCGAAAACAAACTGACAACGCCATGGCCAAAAAATAAAAAGACAAACAGACGAATAATAGTACAGATGACACAACATAGAAAACTAAAGACTAAGCAACACGAACCCCACCAAAAACTGGGGGTGATCTCAGGTGCTCCGGAAGGGTAAGCAGATCCTGCTCCACATGTGGCACCCGTCGTGTTGCTTATGTTATTACAAATCCGGTAAATA